TCCTGTCACAACGCAATATCCGTGGCAGGCTCGTGCCACTTTGAGTGTTCAGGACTCGTATTCCAGAAACACATGGCTCCCAAGAACCTCTTCAGCCCCGACAGTGATAACAAGAAGGGATCAACGGTACTCCAGGTAATCCGTATAGCTCTGTCAAAGATTCCTATGGCATGTCATAAATCAAGGAACTGCTTAGTCTCTCTGCCCCGGCTCCTCACTTCTTCTGGGAAGATCTCACCCCAGTCCCCTGCCTGCATGGCTTGCCTGTGGGAGGACTGGATGACTTTCTCCTTACCTCTCTGGTTTCCAGGCTCTCCTGCTCTGCGTTAGCCTTTCACACGAGGAAGTGCTTGGGAGACGCTTAAAAAGAGGATGGAGCAGCCATCACCACTCTGTCCCACCCCACACAGACAGCAAAGGTGGCATTTTGCATTCATCCTGCAACAACGGTACGGTCTTCCTGGGAAGGAGCGCTCCTACAGAGGGCATCCAGTTCCAAACTGTGCCCGCAAGCAGGCTTTTATCCCCTATTTTACAGCAAAGGGATTGCAAGTGGGGAAAGAGAGGTTTATTTGGCCTTTACAGCAAGCCTAGGGCACAAGACAAATGCCAAGGACCAAGTCCTCAGGGAAGGGAAAGAACGTTGAAAAAACATCAGAAAAATCAGAAGCTTAGAGCAGGGAATAGTATTTATAAGAGACTTTTAAATTTTAATTGTCACAGAAATTAAAAGCATATCAGAGAAACATTAACTGGAAAGAAAAAAAGAAATCAATTTTCCCCAATTTTCAGAATTTTTTTAACATCCTCTCTTCAAAAAGTATATTCCTTTCTTTTCCAACGGAAGAGGGCTAGAGTTAAAAAAAAACAAAATGAAAGTAAAAAAAAATATGCAAACAGAAGCTGAAAGAAATTCAAGGTGGTTACATCCCCCACAAAATGGTAAGGAAATTAAATGTCCACCAAGCCTAGTGTGAAGTAAAATTTCCTCACACAGTGATGTGCCAGTAAAACTTACTCCATTTGTTTTGAAGGGTCTCCCACGTCTTTCAGTCGGCTTGTTCATAAGCCTATTAAAAATTTTTTGAGGCTTCCAAGGAAAAAAAAAGTAATTCGGGACAGATACCATCCATAACTGATAACAAAGTTCCTGCATTGCATGAAGCCATCCCAGTTGCCCTACTTGTGCTGGGTTTAAGCCTATTTTATTTTCTTTTAAATGCACCGCCAAGGCACAATGCTTTTCTCTTGCTGGGAAGATGTACTACCGGTACCAATAGCACTTGAAAAACGCCTGGTTCGTTAACAAACGCAAAGCTGGGAGCGGCCCATTGGCAGTACCTGGACACAGAGGCTGCCCGAGGCTCCGCAGCCCTAGGACGTGTACAGAATGCGCTTACATAATAAATACAGTTTGCATTGAAGATAACATGGTTTATTTCTTCATGATATTCAGATTAAAATGTATCAATGTATTTAGCACAATACTACATTTTAGGACAAAATCATCAGTGCTTTGCAAATCTTCATAATGTTTATTCATTATAAATAGTAAATATTTACTGAACTTTTTACATGAAAGACGTTTGTTTTTTGTTCTTTTTTTTTTTTTTTTACAACACACGTGTTGTTGTAGAGGCTGCAACACAAAGATAATATTTCATTTTTCCATCACCCTTAAGACCAATGTGTGAACTAACCTCTGTACTGAACCTAGTCTAACTCACTACTTCATAGTCCTTAACGCTAAAAGGAATGTATTTGTGTTCTGCCTCCCTCTTTGTTCCAAGAATAGAGAGAAATAAATAACACCGCCTTCCATCTTCCTCTTCCTCTCAACATCACAAAACACAAATTTATTGACATTCTAAAATGTCACAACGCAAACTTCTTGTAAACCTTGTTTCCTATAATTATATTTTCTATATTGGATATCGTTGTATAATTTAAACAAACGTGTCAAATACAGGTCCATCTCTGTCCATGTCCTGTACATCACTAAAAAAATGTAAACGTAGTAATTTCCTCGTATTGTTTCCTGAAAATCACCTTTAAATCATGATTAGCAAGCTGGACTTTAGTTGTCCAGCACACCGCAACATTTCTGTATTTTATCATCAGGAATTACGCATTGCAAAAATAAAAGTACCTGCAAAAATATAGTTCTGATTCTATCTATATGACTTTGGATGTTCCCAAAGTTTGTGTGAGGTACACAGTATTGCACATTGCTAGGCAGTTGTGAAAAATCAGTCGTGGTGGTGTTGATCTTTTTTCTCCCGTGTTTGTTTGAAAAGGTACAACGGACTAGGAAAACTCCACATACAAGAAGGTAAAACCTGTTTTTCATGTTACACAAGATCTTATCTCTTGGTAAAGCAAAACTTGCAAGTGACATTTATTGACAACATGATTACAAAGTCATGGTAAGGTAACCGATAAGTTGCTTGGGAAGACTTTCGCGCTTATCCTAGCTTCCTATGTGACATTTCTTCTTGATGACAACTTCCAGTGTGTAAAATGAAAGAGGTTCTCCCGCCCTTGCTTCAGAAACTGAGCAGTTTTAAAGTTAGACTAAAGTCAGCACTGGATGTCAGATGAGTCAGAGTACGCAGAGCTCAACTGCTTGAAGTTTCAAAATGTTCCATTTGTCCCAATCAATGCACATTAATTTCAACAACAAAAAATGGAATGTTTTGCCAGGCAGTGATATTAAATCCTGCTCTGTTTTATATACCCACTCATAACGAACCATGTCGCGTTTATTTATTCATTATTGCTTTTGGCCTTTGTCTTCTGTATAGCTTTGTCCAGCCTTCAAAAGTCTACTAAAAGCTATGACTGGAGAGAACATAACAAGCCTGACTTCTCTCATTGGGACTGCCCCAGTTTAGACTGCAGTGTGTTGAGAAGATCCCTCGTATCCAAGCCTTGGAGTGAGACCGGAAAACAAGACCAGCTTTAACTTGAAGTGGACAGTTCATTTATGCAATATCTGGCTTCAGATAATGAAAGGCACCTGCAAAAGAGCAAAAGAAGCTTTTTAAGTCATGCTATGACAACCTCACAGCATGGGGCCATGCCAACTACAGGTTGACATTGTCATATTTAATACTGATATATCAAAGGAAAGGGACTAATATTTTTATTCCTAGGACAAGTTTGACAAAACTCTATGTATCTGGGATTATATACTGTAATGATTCTTGAGCTGACCTCATTAAGAACATGTGTTTCTAATAGTGGAATGCCAGTGGTTATTTCATTTTGGACAACCCTTATGTTTTACCTAATGGCAATCAGGTTTCATGTCTCAACAATTAATAACATCAAGATGTTGTTGACATCACTTAAGAAAATAATTATGCAGCAGAAATCTTGCTCAAACAATCAGCTATCTCACCAGTGCACTCCGCTCGGCTTTGGAGAGAAGCAGTAGTCAGCCATTAGGATCCCCGTTCATCATTTTCTTTGTTACAGCCAGAAAACACAGACCGTTGAGATAAACAGGTACAGTACCGCGCTTCACAGGGCAAGCGTCCCAATACTCACTTTGTCCATATTGTCCATACTGGTAGCCTGTGACAGGGTCCATGCTGTAACCCGTGGTGCTGTAGGTTGGTGGGCAGTAGGACTGGGACGTAGGCAGGCTGTCTAAACTCTTCATATGATCCAGCCGCTGGCTGCAGCTGGCTGACACAGTGGTGGTGGGCTCCAGGCCCCCAGTTAAAGGGGACAGGGCATAATCGGTTTGGGGCTGGTGAGGCACACCACCGTGGTTAGTCAGGAGTCCCATTACCTAAAATAAAAGGTTGAATAATAGGAAGAGTTAAACTATGCGAAGAACTGTATTGCTTACAGAGCCACAGGAGTTCTCAAGTCTGTCATTTCATTTCCTAAAATAGGTAAGACTTGGTATTCAAACTATGCCTTGAGTATCTAATCCAAAGAGGAAGTGGAATTTGGTTGCATCATCCACCAAAATAAAAACTGATGGCTAACCACCAATAAAAAGTGATACCAAGAGCAAGTAAGGAAAAATACTTTTAAAAACTTATGATTTTAGAGTGCCTGATCCTCCCATGCCCCAGCTGGGACCTCTGCAGATGCGTATTCCTTGAGGACTCAATTATAAGAGAATAAGCAGCAGGTAATGGCTCTTTATCCACACTGTCCTGTATGATCTACAAACACAGAAAAGCTGTGAAGAAGAAATGAACGACAGAGTGAAGTGCTGGTCATAACGCCAGTGCTCAACCTCATCCGCCGCCTTAGAGGACACAACAGCAATGGTCAGGCGTTCCAGACAGCTTCAAGTCGACTGTGACTCCCTTAATAAGCTGCTTGTACATGAACAGTTACAAAATTAGCAGTCAAGATTAATTGAAAAGAGGTTACTTGAAAATACGTGCTTGTCCCTATAAAAGCCCACCCCACTGGCCATAATTTCCAGTAGAAAAGCAAAAAAAAATTTGCAAAAGCACCTGTGCTTTCAAGCAGGAGTGAAAGAAGCTGCAGTAGTAAGTTATGGTTGCACAAAAAACATTCACCCTGTGGGGTGGTATGCATTTCCTTTCCTGGCACATCTCTGTAGCACATTTTGAAAATAAGTACTACTGCGAGAATTGGTTGCTTCTGCTGGAATAAGTTGCACTTCAAAGCCTGAGAAATAGTTTGTAGCTTATAACGGATGGCTGGCATACAGCTTCTGCCAAAACAGCATATTCTGATAATTTACAGGTTGTTCTTCCTCTGAAAAGGCATTACAAATATCTGACATATGCTATTTGATAATAATTTTGCTTTACTGAGCTTCTTATCATAAACTAAAAAGAAATTATTAAAAATGGAGTCTATTTTGTAAAGACTAAGTCTATGCTCATATGAACATGTCAGGTTCCTGAAGTTCTGATGCTCCTCCTTGAATTATATTTATTTTCCATCACAAACAAAAAACGGAATTGTAGGGAGCTTGTGGTCCCAGCACTGAGTTTTGTTTGTTTCATAATAAACAAATGAAACAACCCCCAGGGATCATGATTAAAGTAGGAAGGAAGACCTATCCAGGTCTTACATGTCTGACAAGGAAAAGAGCAAGCAGAGTACTTCAAAAGGAGACACCCCAATACCTGCATCAAGATCGCAAAACATCTCGGCATCAGATGCACCCAAGACATCTCACCGGAAAAAAAAAAAAATGCTGAGTCAGAAGTTCAGTTACTACTTACAGCACTAGAATGTTCACTTGTTTCACTAAGCAGAAAAACATGCGTTTATTTTCTGAATGCTTCACAAACTGAAGTATTCATGCAAAAAGAAGTTTCAAAATATGTCTGACGACTTCATTTTGATACTGAAATCTTGTAACTTTTAAGTTAAAAAACACAAAAGAAGAATTTGGATTCAGGCTATAAGGTATTTTCTATTTAATTCAAATAACCTTTTCAATGCACAGATCATATTAAAAGAATTTGAGATCAATAAAAAACTAATTTAAATCATCTCCAGAATCACCACAAATTGAAAAATCATGTTATTTGCACAGCAACCTGCACAGCATTTTGTCCCCCAAACTCCTAGAAACTGAAATAAATGGGCGCTCAACTTTTTCTTCTACAAATTGGTTCCTGTAAAGTATTAACATTTCTGAAGACTATTTTAGTGAGTTTTTCTGTTTCAGGAATTACAAATATTTTTTCTTGTACCTTTGGAAAATTATATGGTCCAGAAAATCTAGCCTGCTTAATGATCTGACGTTGCGCCAGCAGGATAGAATATTAGAACCTATGTTCGTTTAGATTATATTAATCCTTGTCCTTCAGAATTAACACAGAGTTGAAAGAAGAGAAAGATCCACAAAAGAACATAGCTTAACTTAAACATTTACATTGAAAATTACTACTTTGGAAAATATTTATGTTGGCACAAGCATCATGGTTTTGACTACAGTTGAAAACACACATGGTTTATCAGAAATCTGAACTAAGTGCGCAGCCCCTTCCATTCCCGCTCAGCACCTATGTGATATTTACAGGGCTTCATCACGTTCTGTTCCAAGTTCAAGAGCAGGGAGAACGGGCTGGGCTCGCGTCGCCCTGGCAGCCCCGATGGAGTTCCGATGGCAATATTCTCTGTGTAAGAGCCCTCATACGACACGCTGTCTCCACCAGGACTTTTAGGACCAGTTGCTGAGCTGGGCAAATAGCTATTTTACCAACTATGTCCTTTAACTAAGCTTTCTTCTGTTTAATATTTTCAGCAGAATAGAGCCCAACACAGCATTGTTTGGACTTTGCCAGCAAAAAGAGTGAGCTCAAAAGATTTGGGATTGGAAGTTATTGTAGAGTTAGAGATTTGTCTTGAAATTTAAACCTGTATCCAGACATGATCTCAAAAGCCACACAAATTTTGGTAGCATCTCTATTTGGACAGAGCTCTATCTTCTCCGACACACTAAAATTAGCATTTGATGAGATTTACTTTAAAAATTGTAAATTAATCAGATAACACAAGTCTTTAGGCATCTTTTTATTAAGCACACATGCAGCTAATAGACACTTCGGAGCAGAACTGACACAGCTCGCTCACTCTCCGAGGTGGAGAAAGTGAAGTCTGAACAGTAACCATCTTCTCAGGAATATCTTCTTCAGAAGCCTTCAGAATCATCCTGCAGTTGATTAGTATCTAAGTAATTAGATTTTTGGTCATGTCTGTTTTGAAAGCTATAAGGGAAGTAGCCTCAGGGCAGAAGTCTTTCATACGGTATGTGCCATGACCTTATCACCCATACAAGGAGTTACAGGAAGGGCATGGCTGAATTTCACCTAATCAATTAGAAAGCCATTAATGGGCCACGTCTGCAAGATGCTTGGCACCCTCGGCTTAGTGGTATAGGACAGACACCGAAGATCTGGATTTTGCAACTCATCTTCTGCTGGTATGAAACAAAATAGTTCTAAATAGGTAAACAAATCTGATTGTTTTACAGGAATAAAAGAAGAAAATTAATTTATTCAATCCATATACCATCCAAATTACTAGAAAATATGTACTTCCCTCTGAATTACTTCAGGAAAGCCAAAGTAGTAATTGTCAGCCTCGTTCATCTGGATCCCAAAAAAGTTGAAAGAAAAATCAAGGGCTGATGTAACACCTAGAACCAAATGCTGCTGTAACTATTCAATTTATTTTAGAAAAGAACTCTAGCTCTAAACACAAAAAAAATGGGCTGTAAGCCTTTTGGCTACATATTTTGTTCTCATCATTTAAAAAACACAAGCAGAAACGTTGATGCATAGCCTCTGAGCTTATAGAGTAAAAGACAGTATATATAAAGGGTAAAATAGTTCTATTAGAAAACACAGGTGCAAAATTAGGAATAAGCAAAGAGATCATGGTGAACTGCAACAACCAAACTCTACAGAAAAGTTTTCAGAGGGCACATCCCAAGCAACCCAAAATATTCACTCGGACAAATCCCTTGCTGGTGGGGTCAGCACAGCATCACTAGCTGAGGATATGATCCAGCAAGAGGAGGAGAAATTGGGTGATGAAAGTCTTAAAGACCATGTACGCAACATCTGGTCCATTATCAGCTATTAGAAAATACTTCTATTATCAACAAAATAAAGGCCATTAAACTGAGAAAAAGCTTATTTTATTTAAATGAAACATTATGCCCGTTAATGTGGTTGGTATTTTAGGATGTAGGACCTACCATAGGCACAATAAAATTCTCATATGTTTTAATTCATTTACGCATGCCTGCATTTAATATGCTTTGTGACCATGTCTGCAATTAATATGATTTGTGAGAAAAGAACATGTGCAATATTTTTGGGTACAGTGATACATTTTTTTCCTCCTCCTGTGAATGAAAGATTTAATGAAACAGCTCAAGGAAAATTGTTGGACGTTAACGTATTAAGTTGAACTGACAGAATCATGAGTAAACTTTAGTGGAGTTAATGATATCCTCTTATCTGACCCTGACACATTTGCAGCATGTAATTTACAGAAGCTCTGTCCAGGGAATCTTGACAAATGCTCCTAACGATGTCAGGGCAATGTTCCATTCTAATGTAAACCAGATGTGGGTCAGATACCCTCATTCATCACTAACACTGAAAATTTCAAACTCCTTCCGAGATGAATGGCGTTACCTGCTGTTAGCTCTTTTCACCGGAGAAAAATCTCTCAAAAACAAAATATTGCGCAAGGAAACACAAAAAGGATGGCTCTAGTGCATTAGAATGAGAGATTTTAGAAGATTAATGAAAATTAATTAGTTACATGGATCTATACGTATAGAATCCTAGAACCATGATGCCGATTCATTTTATATATATGAGTATTTCCGCTGAATACACAAAGAAACCCAACAGAAAACATTTCCGTGCCAAACGGCAAGCACTGGGAACCACATGCTTGGTTAATGAAAAATAGGATCAAATACACTGACTTTGAACATCTGATGATCTGACCTTCTGCATACTCATATCAAATGAGACCTCATACTGATTTCACACCCCCAGACATCAGTGGTAGCTACACTGAAATTAGAGAAGGTACGCTGGTGTACATTTAGGGTAATGAAGAGGATAACTTGATCTTTCATGAATTATATTTTTTATCTACAGGAGATTGCTGATGTTCACAACATTATCACAGTCTATCACGAACTCGGCTTTTTTCAGGTGCTCGATCATGGAGTCACAGGAGTAGGTAACGTTATCATAATAATTCAAAGAGAAGCTAATTTTCTAGCTCCTGGTTGTATGGAAAAGCTTCAAAAATGTT